GCGGAGCCGCTGTGGCCCCGCAGGTTTCTCAGTGATGCGCCCCCTTCCTGCTGGCGGGGGAGCCGCGCTGCTCGCGTCCCAGGGGCCCCGCGTGAGGCAGGGCTCCGCCTTTCCAATGAGAAGGTGAAACCGGTCCTTTCGGGGTCCTTTCACAGAGGACATTCACGTGATGGACATGAAATGCTGTCATTACGCACGCGGCGTGACTGACACGTGACCATGCGACCGCCACTCTGTCCTGCTTTCGCATTTCGCACAAACTCTTGCTCAGACTCTCAGGAGCCGCTCGGCCCCGGCGCCTGCGCCCGTGGCCGTGGGGACGTTTCGACTTCGCTTTCCCCGGAGCCCGGGCGCGCCCGCGGCCGGCGTCGGAAGCCTCATCTCCCGCCTCCGCCACGCATTCTCAGGCCTTCGGGTGCGTTTGTGCCCCATGCAGCGGCACACGTGCGGCTCGTGGTCCCACAACGTGACCCCTGTTGTGTCCTTTTCTTTGAAGGGATCTTTGTAAAGCTTACTTACAGATTTTCCAGCTGGAGCGATCGTCCAGTCATGCCCCAGGGACCATCCGTAGGTTTGCGTTAAATTTCTTTGTCTCCTGGTCCCATTTAAAAATAAAATAGATGCTGTCAGATGGCTTCTATACTATCATGATTGAATTAGGTTCAGGCTCAATGTTTCTTTCCCAAACAGTATATTATTTTTTTTTAAAAAAATGGAGCACCCTCCACAATACGAGAACCTAAAGATGACTTGACTGTGACTAGCCCTTCCATGCGATAATTTCGGGGCAATATCCTAACTTATAATGCATGTCAAGTGCTTAGCACAGTACTCGGCACCCAGAACATGCTTAATAAAGTTATAAAAAATTATTTCATAGTGTGCCCCCTTGTGTACAATTTTGGCAGCGGACATATGACACGGGACGAGGCATGTTGTTCCGCGTGTGTCCGGTGCTGAGCACTGCTCCTGGAGGTGGGCCCCTCTTTTCTGGACGGACTGGGTGACGCAGGTGACATTTACAGGCAGAGCAGCCCTGAGTCAGGCGGTGCGGGGAGAGGCAGCCAGAGAGAAGTGGTGTCCGCCCTGCGAGGTTTAATTCCCTTGAAGGGTCATGCTCTGTCCTTCCAGACACACAGAGTGACAGGGAGGGGGGGTTGTGACCAGGAGGACTTGGGAAGGCTGGGGCCTGCTTGGCCTTAGACAGGTGGCTTTGGGGGCTGGGGCCAGGGTAGAGGTGGGGACAGGGTCTCAGGAAGAGGTGAGCAGAGGGCAAAGGAGCCCGTGAGTGCTCCAGGTGGAGTGAGGCGAACAACGTGAGGAGGCGTGGAAAGGCCGGCGGAGGGAACCGAGCCGGGAATGCTGAGAGCCGCCCTGCGGATCCCCGTGGATGACACCAGCCAACATTTGCCAGGTCCTGGAGGGGCGCACAGCTGCCCTATCCAAGGGTTCTCGTTCAGAAAGAGGGAGTTTGGGTTTCGTTCCGTGTCCCGATGAGAATCCTCCAGGGAAGGTGTTTCGTAGGAGACTGAAACCAATCAGCAGGGAAAACCAGTGAGAAAACCAAGCTTCCATTTCTGTCTGTTGCGCTGACTGACCTTCTTGGGCATGTTCCCACGTTTCTTTATGTGACATATGGCGAATTCGATTTTCCAGATTGTGAGACTAATGAATATTCATTCTGTCTGGTTTACCAAACTAACGAGTAAATAGCCCCCTCCCCCACATCAAAGCCCGCCTCATGTTGTACCATGTGTTTGTTAATTTCTATTAGGTTTCTAACAATCCGGGAATGTTCCAAACATATTTTATAGAAAAATAAAGTTTACAGAAATACTGGTCCGTGATTCCAAAAAGGTTTTAATACTTTTGCGTTTCCATTTCTCTCGTTTATTTTCTCTCTCCCTCTAACATACTTGGCATGACGCTGTAAATCGAATTTTGTATCATGGTTTTTATTTAAAACCTAGAACATTTCTCGCAGCGTGGTTTGCCCAGGACTTTGTCAGATGGAAGTATAGTTTTTGGACTTATAGCACTTGTTATATTTCTTACGTGATGTTTAACCTGATAGAATCTTCCGTTTAAGAATGGCACCTGGGCTGGAATCCGAAGGGCCACCCCCCCACCCCACCGCCGTGCTCCCGACCCCTCGCCAGCCGCACCTCTCGTCAACCCTTACAACTCCTCCGATTTGTTAAAGGGAACATTCTCACTGTAGAAAACCTAAACTAGGCTCTTCGGAGACACGTTTCTTATGAAAAGAAAATCATTATTACTTTAGGGAATTGCTCAAAAGCGGGAGGCAGCACTTCTTAGTTTACATCGCTGCTCTCCGCTCTTCAACTGCAAACGATCCGGCTATAGGCCGTGCCGCGTCCGCCAGCCAGCGCCCCCGAAATGTGAACCTAAGTCTCCCCGGTGGTTTGCCTTCCGCCCAACCCGCCCCCCGAGGCTGGAGCAAGGCTCGGAGTTCCCTCACGGTCTGCTGAGCTGTGGGCGCATGCAGGAGCCAAACCTGAATTGCTAGACCTTAGTGCAATTTTGAAATCAAACCTTGCCTGGCAAGAAAAGCTACCATCCTGGAAAAATAAGTCTGTCTGAAAAGCCTGACTAAAGCGTTGACTCTTCAAGAGCTTAAGGCTCATTAGCTGTGATCCAGAGGCTTGATCTAATCTCTGGGGTTTAAGGCTTGAGCCGGGGGTAGCTGGTAGGAGCCCTGGGAACAGTTGATGGAGTTCTGACGTTTAAGTGGTGTTCCCTTGCACAAAATCAGGGCAGCAGACGAAACTGGAGGTAGATTGTATTACCCACAGAGATAAGCAGAATTTGCATTCTGCACTTTACCTTTAAAGTTTAGAAAACACAGGTCATTTTGATAAGGACTCTGAGACCTCGTCAGCAGTTGCAGGAAGTGGTGATTGTAAATTCTAACACTGTTTTAAAATTTTTATGTTTCCTTAAACAATGGAAGTTTGGCGGACTTTGGCCTTGGTTCAGTGCAGCTCGGAATAACCCTTCTCTCATGGAGGTGCGGGTGGGGATGGGGGACTTTTGGGTGGCACCAGGTGTGTGGGATGCCAGCACTGAGGCTATACAGAGTGTTCCCCGAACACAAATTTCACTTTTCCTGTCCCACGTGATTAAAAGAATCAGATTTACTGAGGTGTGATTTACACACACTAAAATTCATCCATTTTAGCGTTCGGTTCCACGTGTTCTGACACATGCATATCATCACTTTCAAGCTTTACCGCATCCCATTACCCCCACCCACGCCCCACCCTGAAGTTAACCTCCCCCGCCCGGCAACCCCCCCATCTGTTTCTTGCCCCATAGTTTTGCCTTTTCCATAATGTTATACAAAATGGAATCATCCTGTCTGCAGGCTTTGCGTTTGGCGTCTTTCTCAGAGTAAAACGAATGTTACACGCGCACGCGCCGCCTCGGTCATCCGTGATTTGTTTCTTTTCGTTCATGAGTCGTAGTCCACAGTTCGTCTATCCATGCACCAGTGGAAGAACATTCGAGTTGTCTCCGGTTTTTAGCAATTATGAATAACGCTGGTGTAAACATTATTATATGAACATTTGTTTTTATTTCTTTTGGGTGAACACCTAGGAGTGGAGTAACTAGGCGTAAGGGAAGTGGATGTTTATCTTTGTAAGAAACTGCAGAACTATTTTCGAAAGCGGCTCTCCTGTTTTGCATTTTCGTGTGCATTACGTGAGTGTCAGTTGCCCTGCATCTGGGAGTATTGAGGTGGGTCCCCCCAACCTCACGTGCATGCAGTACTGCAGTTTTAATTTGCATCTCACTGATGACTAATGACATCAAGTATCTTTTCCTATGTTTATCTGCTATTCATATAACCTTCCTTGGTGTAGCGTGTCTTCAAACCTTTTGCTTATTTTTTAAAAATTGGGTGGTTTTGTTTCTTATTGAATTTCAAAATTTTCTGATGAATATATTCTGGCCAAAAATTCTTTGTCCGGTATGTGTTTTGCAAACATTTTCTACTAATGTTTTTGTTTTCTTAACAGCGACTTTTGAAAAACAGCAGTTTTCATTTTCAGTGGAGTCCAATTTAACATTTTTTTCTTTTATGGATTATGCTTTTTCTGTTTTCTCATCGGGACTTTATCTG